CTATCCCCTCACTGGATCGAGCAAGGAATGGCTTTTGATCCCTGGTCAGTCAATCCCTGGTCAGTGCAGGCCAACTGATCATTGATGAAGTCTCTTTTAGGGCACCACTCTGTTGCAGTAGGAAATACGATGAGAAAGCAGAAGTCCTTTATTGAAAGCATCCAGGCAAGGAAAATCTGATCACGCAACAATGGTATGAGGAACAAGGTCCAGAGGGTAGGATAGGAATGGAGGGAAAAGTTTCATAAGGAACAGAGAAAGAGACATAGGTCAAAAGACATTTGTGTCAGCAAAGTATTTGATGTTATCCTAGGTAGAGTTATCCCAACAACACCATGGAGTTAGTCACATAATTAGAACAACCGCATCCTAGGCGTCCCAGGCGTCCCCAGGCCTTTCTCATGATACGGGTTATTGTCCATAGGTAGTCAAAGAATGCTCTACTGTGATTTTCAGATAGCAAATAGGTCACAGTTGCTTATGAGTGGCCACCTCATAGGAACCCACAGAAGACTAAAACACTAGGCTAAGAAAACAGTAATTCTGAGAGTGTAGATAGTAGAAACTACTCAACATGAATTAAGGAGCACCAACCATTCACCAGCTCTCTCTCTAATCAAGGTCATATTCCAAGGAAAAAAGCATCCACTTGTATAACTGAGCCTCATGACTGCTATTGGATAGAGGAGGGCAGGACAGTGTAAGAGAGATTGTTCCCAGGGATAGAATGCATGATCCTATGAGCAGAAAGAGGAATGGATATATGCAGGCCAAAGACCAATGACCTCCACAACTTAAATTCTAGGCTTCTCTCATGCTAATGGTTCACTCTCAACAACACCATTTTAGACACTAGAATAAACTAGAAACTAATGAAAAGAGTTGGGAATGGAGTAAATGATGAAGAGGTTCCAAATGGGAGCAAGGCATCTGAGTATACCTTTTTCTATAATTTTGACTATTGAAACATGTAAATGTCTTACAAGTTCAAAAGTAAAAGGGAAAAAAGCAAGACAAGGAAGTGAATGTTTCTTTTTAAACCAAAAACATATGCTGGTCTGTACCTTGCTCTTATCACTTCTGGAACCTGAAACTCACTCCATTATCAGTTCACAGGAATCTCCCTTTTTTTAAAATGTATAATTCAATCATTTTTATATTCACTGTATATTCATAAAGGTAGGTAACCATCACCGAAATCTAATTTTAGAACATTTTTGTCACCCTAAAAAGAAGCCCTGTATCCACTGTCAGCCACTCTTCATCATCCCCAACTTCCCACTTGCCTTCCTCTAGGCAACCAATAATTCACTCTATGGATTTGTCTATTTTGGTCATTTTATATAAATGGAAATCATACAATGTGTGGAGGATGGGGGTGTCCAAATTCTTCCACTTAGCATATGTTTTCAAGGTTCATCATCCTGTAGCATGGATCAGTACTTCATTCCTTTATGTTGCTGAATAAAATTCCAGTGTGTGGGTACACATTTTACTTATCCACTCATCAGTTGATGGACATTTTGTTATTTCCACTTTTGAGCCACCATGATAATGCTGCTAAAAACCTTCATATACAATTTTTGTGTCCCATGTTCCTTTTTAAAGCTCAGTATTACTATACCATTTGATGTTTGTTCACCCATCCTCTCCTGATAAACATTGTTTCTGATCTTTTACTATTACAAACAATATTACAACAAATACTCCTGTGCTTATGCCTTCTTCCGTTTGAAGAAACATATCTTTAAGAACTATTCATACAAGTGGAAATACTAGGTCTATGTAAAGCATTATTTTTATTTATTTATTTATTTACTTTTTTTAATCAAAGCATTATTTATTTTTTTAATTTAAATTTTATTTTTATATTCCCCATACAATTACAACCCCCTTATTTTGACACCAATCCCTCCTTTCCCCACCCCCCAACCCCCATAGAGTGTCTCTGGTTCATAGTTGTTTGTTGATTTTGATATTTTCTTTCTTATAGTTATTCTTTTTCCTGGTCCCTTATTTAAGTTTTCTAGATTCCTGCTATGAGTGAGACCATCCGGTATTTTCCTTTTTCTTTCTGGCTTATTTCGCTGAGCATGATCCCTTCTAGCTCCATCCATGTTGCTGCAAACTGCATGTGTTTATCTTTTTTGAATGCTGAGTAATATTCCATTGTGTATATGTACCACATCTTCTTGATTCAGTCATCTATTTTTGGGCATTTGGGTTGTTTCCAAAGCTTAGCTATTGTAAATAGTGCTGCTATAAACATAGGGGTGCAGGTGCTCTTTGGAATTAGAATTAATGTTTCTGTCATTTGCTCATTTTTGTAAATATTTGATTTCTCCCCTCATGTGTAGTCTCTATAATTCTCCCCACTACCACATCACCTGTGAAGCATCACCAGTCACTTGTGCTCTGCCCTCTCCTGTTTTGACCTCTGTCCCTCCTCTTCCTCTGTTGTAAACCTCAGATCTATGGTTTGCCTGCAAGTTTTGTCTTTTTCCTAACCCTTTGTTCAGTTTCCCTATATTCCCCCTGTTTATCTTCTAACAATGTTTATGTTGTACTTTGTTTGGGTTGATATAAGTAAGTTTTCAATTTTTATATCTAGTCAAAATGTTTCTCTTTTTTTAAACTCAATTTTGAGACATAGTTACAAAAGTTTTCCTCAGTTCCAGGTTATAAGGAAATTTACCCATATTTTTATCTTGAATTAATACGGCTTGTCTTCACATTAAATTTCTGACAATTTGGAGTTAATTTTGATATACCAAATATAAGCCCAAGTTTATTTCTTTCCAAATGGATATATGGAGGTCCTATTCTATTTTTGTAATGCAACATCTTTTTCCTCAGTGACTTGAGATGCCACAAATCATATGTTAAAATTTCATGTTCAGGCCTATTTCTGGTCTTTCTGTTCTATTGTATGGTTCATTCATGTACCCATACCACATCGCTTAGTCATGAAGGCTTACTGGTATGCATTAGTGGCTAATATTATCAGTATATCTCCATTGCTCTCTTTGGGAGTTTTCCTGTCTTTTAATTTACATGTCTACATGGACTTTAAAATCAACTTGTCTAGCTCCCAAAAAACAAAAACCTTGTATTGATATTTTTATTGAAATTGACTTAAATATATGTAGTAATGTGAGAAGAATTGGGATATTTAAAATGTTGTCTAACTGTGCACTTGAGATGTTTTCCCATTTTTTCAAATCTACTTTTGTATTTTTCAAGGTTTTTTTTCATTATAGGTTTTGTTCATATCTGAAGTATTTTGTTGTTGCTTATACCAGTCACTGTCAATTGTGTACTTGAAAAACATTGACTTGTATGCTGATTTTACATCTTACTACTTCATTAGATTAATTCACTTATTCATTTGTTTTCCACCTAACCTGTTAGGCTATTCATAAATGCCTCTTCTTTTATAATTCTCACTCCCCTAATTGTTTTCTTTTGCCTGATTATTTTGCTTAAGATATTGTAATGGAGGTAGTGGGTATCCTCATCATGTTCATTGGCTGATGGAAATGTATATAGTTTTCTCATTAAACAAGATGCTAGATTTTACTACTTTTTGTTAACTCAAATGGGTGTTGAATTTTGTCAGAGGACTTTTCATCATTCATGGAGTGCTCTCCTTAGATCATGCCTGTCCTTAGATCTACAATATGTGAACTGTATGAACAGATTTCCTAATATTGAACCATTTTTGTAACAATCATGTTATATCATCTAAAATTGTGCTTTAGATTGTTTGCTGATATTTTATCAATAGTTAGGACTTTTGCATCAATGTTCATTTGTGAGACTGGTTTGTACGTTTTATTTTTGTGTGTGCAATTTTTATCAGATTTAGGAATCAATGTTATATATGCTTCATTTAAAAGAACTGTAAATTTTCCTTCATTTTCCATATTTTGGAAGAGTTAATGTGACATTAGCGATTATCTGGTCTTTACAAGGTTTGGTAATTTCTGCATAAAGCCACTTGGGTCAGATGATCCTCTATAACAGTAATCCTGTTAGGGGGAAAAGGATGTCCTAAAGCTAATTCCATACAGGCTTTGTGGACTCCACCCCCACCCCAGGCCAAAGCCAAAGACACTGGGAACTCCAAATCCCATCACCACCAAAGAGAAGGTAACTGGGAAATAAGGGTGGGGGGGTTAAGCAGCCAGGTTGATATAAAAGGCAGACACGTGGGCTTTGGAGGGGTCCCCCATTCTGGCTCTCCGCCAGCTCGCAGAGTCCGGCCAGTTCTGAGAGTGACTTTGGGTTTCCAGGTCGGCGGATCGGATAGGATGCATTAAAGACTTTATTTCCCTATTTTCTCCCTTAGTTGTACAGTTTCCTTATTTCCTTTTCCCTTGTAAATAAACCTTTTATTAACCTTTTGTGTGTGCCTGTAGTGGAGTATTAATAAGTCCCTTTTAAGCGCGCGGGTGAGGACCCACAGCCAGGAACCCGTTCAATATCGGGGCTGCTCTATAACAATCCTTCAGTAATTTTCTCGTTCCCTTCTATGGAAATCTTTTTATACTTTCCATCTGTACTAGGATGAATTTCAATAAATTCTATTTTTCTTTTCTAGGAAATTACTCATCCATTGATCAAATTTATTCAGACCAAAATCAAAGGAATCTTAGCTTGTTTGAGTATCCTGTTTCAGTGGCTATTTCTCTCCTTAATTTTTTGGTATCTGCATGTTCTTTCTTGATTGGGTAAGTAAAAGTAGAATTATCCTTTTCTGAGGATCACCATATATTAACACAATTATTTATATCTAATAACTGTCTGGTTTTATCTTTATCAAAATTTTCTGAAAAGATATACTAAATATCAGAATTTGTGGAATTCCATTAAAGCATTGGTGAGGGAAACCTATAACTTTTAATTACTTTATGTAAATAATTAAAATAAGTGAATTATACATTCAGTTATAAAAAGCAAAAATTATAAAAAAATTTTTTTTAAAGATTTATTTATACAAGAACCGGGGTACAGGCCAGAGGTGTGGGAGGGTGAGAGGATTCACCAGACACAGAGCGGGGAACAGAACAGGCAGACTGATGAAATACACTGCTGAGGGAGCAGCGGACGAGACAGGAGAGGTCTGCTGCACCATGTGGGATTCTCACCAGCCGGACAGGATCGAACCCGCGCTGCAGAGGCTGTGGACAGTTTCACATTGCGGTGCTCAACCGCCTGCGCCACCAGGGAGGCCCAAAAGATTATTTTAAAAAAAAGAAAGAATAGATGGCAATAAAGATAAAAATCCCAAATTCCTCAACCTTTTTCAAATCAAATGCTGACAAAATATAAGTCAAATGTTACAGCATTCTCCCGGATTGGTTCTTAGATTTGGATTGCTAAGTAATGATGAGATCTCAGAACAATCTTTGGATTTCATTATTTCTGATCCTGATGCAGAGCAACAATCTCCTCAGGCAGCACACGCATTTTAAAAAGAGATAAGACAGAAGTGTAGTTTTTCCACATAGATCTTTAAAATATTTTAATACTAGCAATCCATCAGGCAGCATGAAGGGCAGCATTTGTGCTCAAACCTGCTAGTAATACTAAACTGAACTATGATAAAAATGACCCAAAAATGACAGACATTCAAATTAAAGCTAAAACTAAAATAAAATATACAAAGTCAAAGAGTTACATAATCTCAGCAATTAAGTGTAAGATTTTATGCTTGCCAATGTTTATAGAAAGTAATTAGTATAGAAAGTAATTTATTTTCCAAAATCTTATCAACAATTTCAATTATATTTGACAGACAGTAAAAGCAGACTAGGAAAAATGTTTAAAATAAATGAAGAAAACATATATTATTACATACAAAGACTTAACTCTGTAAACAAAATATAATTATGTATATTTTATACACCAAACTATTTACACTGGTAATAATTCCTTAAAGGCAAAAATCCCTGTCTTACTCATTCTTATAGTCCCATCTTAGAAGAGTGCCTGGCACAAAGTAGTTATTCAATAACTATTTGCTAAAAAAATGAAAATGGATAATCCATATCTTCAAGAAAAAGGTACACAAAGGTAAATATATGAAATATTTAATATGTTTGTATATGAAACATACAAAGGCCTAAACACAAAGTCAATACCTAACTAAACGTTTCTTATGTAATTCATTATTACAAATCTTGAGTCAAAAATACAACTCTAAAAATAGGTACTAAAAAATCACATATCTACATAAAACACTAAGACAAGTAAATTGTCTTAGGCTGCATCATCATCATCATCATCCACCGCAGTGTAAATGGCTTGATTTCTTCTCTTAATTTTCTTTCTTTGTTCAGGCTCATGTTCATCACTTAACCTCTTCATTGGCACCTGTGTTAGGTCCGTTCCACCTCCCAACTCCACAGTCTCACCAGGCTTCTCTCTGTCATCCGGGGAACCCAATGTATCATCAGAAGATACAACCATGGAACCTGGCAAGATCCTGACATCAGAAAAACTTGCAGAAAAGTCAGAGGCTTGACCAGAAGAAGGTTCTACAGACGGTGGATTTGTGTCACTATGTGCACTTATAATACTATCTTCATCTTCTTCCTCTTCATCTAACATTATTTCATCTGGATTAATAGAAGACAGGGCAGATGTGTCTGTATTATATTCACTAGGGTCTTCCCCAGAGTCATTATTCTCCACATCATCCTGCTCTTCATATTCACCACACAAATGATTTTCTTCTTTGGCCTTCTGAAGCCTGACATTAATGTCTGTGATGCCAAGTTGCGCACAAAATTCAGTAGTCTGAGGGTTAATCCTATGAACCAATGGTATTTGTGTCTGTGGCTTGCTAGGGTCAAAACAGGCAGCTGTCATACTAAAGTTACATGGAACTTTGAGGTCATGATTCATTTTTTCCAGTACTTCATTCATAGATTCTTCCGTGGCACTATAATCCCACCTGAAAAAAGTAAAAAAAAAAGAAGAAAGAAGAGAAAAAATGGCTTTTTATAGCTTACCAGCCTTAGACAACAAATGATGAAATATAGCTGTGGACTTCAGGTACAAGCATTAAAAATAAACCATATACCAACATTCCATTTAGTAAAATGGCAGTTTAGCAAAAACCTTTCTGAAATGAAAATAATTTTCAGGAAGAGCTGTCCCTAATTCACACCCTAAAACGAGGATAAATCATTTTAATGTGTGAACCAAATCTCCACCATACTATATGGTTAGACATTTATTCACTTTATACACTGATTTGGGTTGGTAATCAACAGTACACTTTGTTGTGGCTCTTACTAGTCAAGTAAACTGAATTGTTCTTACATTCATTTATTCCCTTGATCACAAAAAAAAAGTGGAAGGGAAAAGGCAAGTCCTATATAAGGACAAACTTACCTTGTGTACAAGCCATTATTCTCAGGCATATTCCACAGGCGCCCAGTCACATTAATAAGATCATTAGTAGCCTTGAGAATAGTGAGCCATTCAATATCATACTCTAAGTAATCAGGAGCACTGGGATCATGTTCTATTTCTATTACCTGTAGGAAGAAACCAGTAATTTAAGAAATACATATCTATTTTTAATATCCTGAGAATTTCAATATAATACATTTTTATAGAAATTTAATTTAGGAGCCTAAAAACATTAATGTAAGTTAAATATCCCCAAAGAATTCTCAAATATACATAGATTACAAAAAAGCACAGATTATGAAAGGAAAATTAATAATTATTTTAATTATGGTTAGATTAAAACTGTACTGTAAAGGTTTTTCACTTTCTTTTTACCTGAAGAAAGTCTCTATGTGGTAAGCATTTGTCCAAGGCTAAAAATTTGGTTGCTTTTGCTGTCTGTCCTTTATCCTTGACCTAGATAAAATGAACCACAATTTAAGAAAGAATGTTCATGTTGGGGGGAGGGATAGGGAGTAAGGGGAACACAATGGACTATGGTAATGGACTATGGGTGTTTTGGTGGTAGGAGCACTATGATAACAGCACCATAGCAGGAGGGGGAATAAAAGGGAGTCCTATATTTCCAAAATACAAACTATGTAAACCAACATTGCCTCAACACAAAAAGAGTGAATGTTAAAATATCACAGGAAACTCATACACTGAATAGGATGGATATAATCTTTACTGCACATACCCTTAGGTTGTTTGTCAAAGGAACAACTGCAAATTTTCCAAAACAAGTTAGTTCTATACCCACTTATGCAATAATGGGCAAAGGACTTAAACACCTGAAGGCACTCTAGGCTTCAACTGCCTTACAAAAGTCAAAACAAAAACTAATGATGAGGGCCTCCCCTGGTGGCGCAGCAGTTGAGCGCTGGGCTGCGAAGCTGCCCGCAGCCTCTGCAGCGCTGGCTCGATCCCCAGTCTCTGGGCGAGGGTCCCACATGGTGCGCAGACCTCTCCTGCTGCCCACTGCTCCCCTTAGTAGTATACTTGGTCAATCTGCCTGTTCTGTTCTCTGCTCTGGCTCTGGTGAATTCTCTCATCCCCCCGTGCTTCTGACTGTACCCAGTGCTTGTATAATATATAAATAAATAAATCTTTAAAAAAAAAAGTTTAAAAAAAAACCTAATGATGATAATATGCATTAAAGCATGTAACCCACAATGCCTGATAGCAAAAGGATTAAAGATAACAGAAGAGTTTAAAAGTAAATTACCAAAACTAAAAGTATACAACTTCAAGAAGAAACCATAGGAGAAAATTTTCATAACCTTGTATCAGACAAAGATTTCTGGACACAACATCAAAAGTAGATGCACTCTAGCCAAAGAATGAAATACTATTTTCACAATAAAAATGAATGAAATACTAATACATGATACAAATAGAGACACAAAAACAGATTAGGGCTACCTGGAGCTGACGATGGGAATAAGAATTTGCCATAAACAGGTGCAAAGGATCTTTGGAGGATGGTGGAAATGTTCTAAAACAAGATTATGTGATATCCACACAACTCTGGAGATTTACTAAAAATTACTAAATTGTACATTTAAATGGGTACATTTTATGATATGTAAGTTATACTCCAATAAAGCTATTTTTTAAAAAATGAATTTGCAGAAAAAAAAAAAACATGGGTTGGGGAGGTCACAAACATGAAGGTCATACATAGGGAACAGGAAAAAAGTATCTCATTGAAAATAATGAGGCACATGGGAAAAAGACAAGGATTTAGCCTTCTGAGAATCAGGTTTAAATTCAGTGCTGCTAAGGGACTAAGAAAGGTGGGAGGCACAGAGATCACAGGCAAACGCTGGCATCAGAGCAGTTCTGAGGAATAGTGGTCTTTGGCGTTGGTGAAGGCAGAGAGAGAGAACACTGGCAAAGTCAGAGGAGGTGGAGAAGCCAAGAAAAAAGGATCAAACATATCATTAATGCAGAGATACAGGCACGTGAGGTTGACAACAGAAGAGGGAATGGAGAAAAGGTAGTAAATCAGATGCCCTAACAGAAATCCAATACCATGAATCCTACAAGAAAGAGAAACACAGAGGTGGAAAGGTTATATAAGCAGATGACCTGACCATTTAAAGAGGATCACCACTTTGGTACTAGCTCAAAGGAAACTGAAAGGAGTAACCTCACCTCATTCTCCCAGTGAAATGGGTGATCCCACAACAGAAAGGGCCTGTCAGAATGTTTTCTGAAAGAACCTTCCGCACTGTGTCTGAGGAACCTGATTAAAGTGTACCTCCACCACAGCAAAGTATTTGGTCAACTAAGTTTGGGAACCACTGCACACCACATCCCATGCTTGGAAAAAGACTATGCTCGATGGCACATTAAAGAATTAAAGACTCAGAAACTTTGTAAAAAGCCTCTGAGGAGAAATCTCCAACTTTGCTAATTCAATATTTTCTAAATGCTTTCTCTATGGAATGGAATAATTCATGGGAAAGTCACAGTTCAATCAAAATCAAGAGTGAATGGAAGAACTTCAAATTTCCATAAAAGTATATATTTATGCTCTACCCTCCATTAGATGCAATCATCCAGTGACACAAGGAAAAACTCCATGAGTCACCCTAAATTACCACCTCCCTATCACCAAATCTTGATGATTCTGCTTCCAAAATCTCCACAAAACCAGCTTCATTCTGTATTCCTTCTTTGCCTTTGTTAACTTTTGCCTTTATTAGAACCTCAGCTTTAACTTCCACAGTCTCCTCTGCCTCGCATTTAACACTACTTCAATCCACATGCAAAACTGCTGCGAAAGAAATCTGATTTTATTACTCCCCAACTTTCCCCATCCTCTCTGGTTAAGACATAAATGCCAGGATATGGCTCAGAAGGAAGTTCTGATCTTGCTCCATTTTTGTCTCTCCCTAAGCTTCCGCCATAGGACTAACAGCAGCAGCTCAGACCTCCAGCTCTGCATACATTGGTCCCTCTAGAACACCCCCTATCTTCTCCTTCCTGGTACTATCAGTACTCAGCTCAGCCATCAATTCCTTTAGAAATTAAAGTCCTTCTCTCCATCTCTCTGTCCACAGTCCCAAGTCACCAGTTTGGCTTGGAATTCCCAGAGTATCCTAGCACTTTTTAAACTTTTTACAACCTTGTATTTTGTTTTTTGTAATTGCTTGCTTATCTCCTTCCCACCATTTGGATACTGAGCTACTGACAAGGGAAAAGTTATTTGTTTTGAACTTTACAACTGTGCCAACAACAACCTCCATAGTCAAGGTGTTTGTTAAATAAAAGAATAAATATTTTGTTTTCTACCTGATGCTGCATAAAAGCTGCAAACTTGACATGAAGGTGTGCAGAAAACCAGTAAGTAGGTTTTAAGTACTCTAAAAGCTCTGAGGCAGCAGGACTTCCTAATGTATTATTTTCTACTTCTTGTCGGAAAAAAGATTTAGTCTTGAGAAGTTGCTTCTTATTTCCATAATGATATATGCTTCTTGGCCAATCATGAGATAAGAATATGTCCATAGGCTGCTTCAGCTTTAACAGAAAAAGAAAACTCTTAAAAACAGATTAACCAAAAGCTATCCCCCCTCCCTTTTCTCCACCACTAAACCACCAGTTACCCATTTAGATCTCTAGATTTCAGTGAAATTCATTCCAAAGATGCCATATTTAAGTAAGTCAAAGAAACACTAAACGACTCATCTAGGCAAAGAGTAAGTTTTCTTTCTCACAAATTATCTTATTTTCAGTGGCATGGCAAGCCAACAGAGGCTGATTAGACTGTCAATGATCTATGTCTTGAGTATTGAGTTTCTAAAATATATGATAACCACGGTTCTTTTCCTTTGGCAAAGAAACTACTGTTTTAAGATCCAGAGACATCAGATTTCATGAGACTGCTCATGTAGGTGACACAATAAACCCAAAGATAGATTCCATTTTTTCCCTAATGGATTTACATACTATACACTGAAAAAAATCCCATTTTACCACATAAATTATATTAGAGGCATTTAAGGTACTTGGTGTCTTAATGGGGAACACACAAAAAATACCCCATACTTGACTCATCTCCAGCACTTCCAAGTAAACTGAAACAAATACTTGGAAAACTACATTAAAATAACTTTAAAAAATTGCTCAAGATAATACAAAATATTGACTAATACCTGAATAACAAGTGTGGGGAAATAAGTGCAATAAAAATTTGGATAAGGGACATGACTTTAAACTAGAATACTGGTTGGGAAGTGGTGTCTAAGCTGGGTCTTTATTGTTTTTTTAAAAATATATTTATTTACGCATACAAGAACTGGGGTACAGGACAGAGGTGTGGGGGATGAGAATATTCACCAGAGACAGAGTGGGGAAGAGAACAGGAAGACTGACTATAATAAACTGCTGAGGGGAACAGCAGGCGAGACAGGAGAGGTCTGCTGCACCACGTGGTAGTTCCCTGGCTGGAGATTAAGACACAATCTATGAAGCTATTCGCAGCCACTGCAGCTGGGTCTTTAAAGACTGGTAGAATTTAGATAGGGAAAGGGAAAAAAGCATTGAAGGTAGAGAACTGTCATGAATAGAGCATAAAAGAAATGCCCACAAGCAATCCTATGCTACTGTAGGGGGGTATGGTAGGTTGTATGGGATGGTGGGAAGGACTGAGATCAGTCAGGCAGGCTCTAACACTTAACAACTCGGGAAAGTCCTATGCAGGTTACTTACCTTAGTCGTGTGCCCTTAACATGTCATCCTTAATATGACAGTCATGCCCACCTCACTACATTTGAGTGGAAATGAAATATCAAGTGTGAAAGGTATTTAGCCCAAATATCAGGCATTTAGTCAGATCTCAAACAACAGACTAGTTTCACCTAATGTCCAATTAGGCCAGTATCTTGATTCCATCTTCACAATGTCATATCTGCTATCAACTTCACTATTATTTATTTTCAATTTAAAACCATTATTTAAGGGCCCCCTGGTGGCGCAAGGGGTTAAGATGCAACCTATGAAGCTATCCACAGCCTCTGCAGCACAAGTTCGATCCCCAGCCAGGGAGCTACCCACATGGTGCAGCAGACCTCTCCTGACTTGCCCGCTGCTTCCCTCAGCAGTGTATTTCAGTCAATCTGCATGTTCTGTTCCCCATTCTGTCTCTGGTGAATTCCCTCACCCCCTGCACCTCTGGCCTGTACCCTAGTTCTTGTATGCACAAATAAATAAATCTTTTTAAAAAATAAATAAAACCATTATTTAAAATAAAATATTTTAATATTTTCTTTAAAAATCATCTATTTCAATCAATATCTACTCTTTAGACTCCCCCTAAATAATAATGTTGAAAATCAAGGATTAAATATTTTATTTCATTATTACTCACTAAATAAGTTCATAACTATCAAAATGAAACAAAATGTTCAGCTATCATTCTCCCAAAAGCAACTAGAGATATAAATGTTAGAAACTCCAACTTAACTTAAGCTCCTCTTGGAAGTAGTATACCAAAATGATCAAAATACATTTTGGTAAAGAATTACTTAAAAATCATTTCAAGTCCACTATAATGTACTTTTAACATACCTGTTTTAATTTGTAGACTTCAATATTTCTTACATGATATATACTCCTTATTGTAGCTGGATTATAAGGGGGGTACTCAAAATGACCTTAAATTGAAGAGGAAAAATAAATTATGTCTAAGTCCTTTAAATATTGCAAATGAGAATACATACACACACTTTCCCAAAATTAGTTATTTATCAACACCTTTGCTTCTTAAACTGTTTATTTTTTTAAAGTGCTCTAAAAATGTTATTTTCTAGTAGTAAGTGATCACAAAATTTAATTAATTGGGAAGTTTATGATCTGTTAATTAAAATATACTTAATTTTGGAAACTATTGTCCATGTACACTATTTACAATTAAAAACATATCATTAGAAAGGTAGAGAATAAAAAGTGTCCCTCCTAGAGAGTGGATCAATTGATGTACTGGAGGAGACATTAATTATGAACAGACATAAAACTTTTCGGGGGTAATAGGAATGTTCTAAATCTGGATAGTGGTAAATAACTCCTATAAAATCACTGAATACTCACAATGGTACATAAATTTCACCTCAATAAAGCTGCCCAAAAAAAAGGGGCATGAATTCTCCTTTCCTGCCCCCTTGCCATCAGTAACTATTTAGAGGCAATGAATGTTAATCAGGTTTTATTATTTTTATTCCAAGGATATCACCATCTATGCGTATAATACACATACTTCTTTACCACCCCCCCCCCTTTTCTTCACATGCATGGCAGTACATTTTATATGTATTTTGTGCCTTGTTTTATTCACTTAACATATTTTGGAGTTCTTTCCACATTAGCTATACATAATTGCCTCACTTCTCTTTCTTTTCCTTTTATTTTCTTTCATGGTAAAAATGCTTTATTGGTGGCAATACAAGTTAACAAATATTGAATACCAAAGAACTCACATTATTTATTAGATTACTGACCCATTGAACCAGCTCATTGTTGGGGATGACAAATTGAAGTAAATCCTGCATCTTGGGAAATGAAGCCATAGCCAGCTGATACATAGCCAACTGTAAGAATCACAGGCCCTATATAGGAGGGCATCAGCTACCCCACCCTTTAGATACACTGAAATTCCATAGTCCTCAAACAGTTTTTGTCTCTCTGGAGTTTCATTTTCAAATTCACTGCATGATACAGTACTTTTGGTTCTCTGGGTAACCTGACAAAGACCTAGCATATTCCACAGCAACTTGGCTCAGTTACTTCCCACCAAATGCAACCATTTCTTCTTTTTCTAAATGGCTTCATCAGCATTATATTGTATAGTTATATCATATTTAACTAGTTCCTACCTTTTGCTATTATAGACAAGGTTTAAACAAATAAATTTGTATCACTTTTTATTTGTGGACTACATCTGTAGATAAATTTCTGGAAGTGAACTCCTAAATTAGAGTACTTTTATAATTTCCAATTTCCTTTTGTCCACAAAAAAGTGGTTCCAATTTGCACTCATATCTGCCATAAAGGAGACAACCTATTGCTATATACCCATGTCAACAGTTTAGAATCATGAGAAACAGGGCAGCAGGAAACAGACTTGTGATTTAATAGTTACATTGAGGATAGAAGTTTTAGCTACTATGAAATTTTGTAATCAGTATGAACCCAAGCTATTTCTTTCAGCTATAGTAGAATGCATATACAATGGAATATGCACGTAATGAAACGCTATTCACAAACTAGAATGAATCGTTACACATAGTAACATATATTTCAAAAATATTAACTAAAGTAGTAAGGTGCAGAAAAATACAGGCAAAATGACACATTTATGTTAAGTTTAAAACATGCTATGTAACACATCATTTAAAATTCTTACATATGTGGAATAATGTAAAATAACCAAGGAAAAAACACCAAAAGGCTGGGATAAAAGGAGAACAAAGAGAGTCAGGATAGATAAACAGTGAACTTCAATTGAGTCTGTACTGTCCTATTTCTTAATAATCACACTAAAAATGTCCAAATACCAAAACTTGATAAAACTAGACAGTGGATACACAGATAATATGATCTAATGTTCTCTGTATTTTAATACAGACAAGTTATTTTATAATAAAAAATTAAAAATAAGATAGTACATAGAAAAAAAACAATGAAAAAGTTAAATAATATTCTTAAATTTTTCTGGGGCATGCAATTTCTAAAATTTATAAACAATTCTCAGGTCAATTTTTAATCAATCAACAATACCTTTTCGATAATCATGAGATTTAAAGATACCAGAGATTCCACCAATCCTTATGCCTCGGTATTTTACTACACCAGCCAAACCTGGAAAATTACAGTTAAATATAATTACTACAGGGAAAAGCAATCTCTGTACTAACAGAATGAACAGTTGAAATGACTGGAATTCATGTAGCCCTAAAATTATTGGAAAATTAAGTATGAGGTTAGTCTTTTATGTATTAACAAGTCAAAAATATATAAGACCAGGTGTCCCGACCCGCGGGATTCGTAGGCACGAAAAGAGAAGGGCTGAGAATTGAAATGAGTGGCTTGAGACAACTTGACGCTAGCGTTTACTTCTTTATTTTTCCTTTTCCTTTCTTTTATTTTTCCCTGTCTTTCTACCTTCCCTGACCTTCTCTCTGCTCCTCTCGCAATAACCTCTCTCGCAATGACCTCTCTCGTAATAGCCTCCTGACTTCTCGTGGTTCTCTTCTTATATCCTGGTAGCTCCTCCCATCGTACCTCCCAGTCTCATTTGATTAATAGGAAACACCTGTGGTTTCTCAGCAGGCAAAACGGTAAAGCGAAAACTAATTAATGGCACGTGTGTTGCGCAACACGGCGCATGCTCCAGGCGGCTCCGACAACCAGGGAGGGAAATCCTAGAAACAGATCACTCTAGAGATCAAACAGGAAGGAACAAATGAGACAGGGTGCATTAAGAGGGAAAAGACATAAATACAGTACCTAATGGAACAAGGTGTGGGGGTGGGGAAGAGAAGAAAACATCCTATGATGGATTTATATGTTAATAGTCAACAGGTACAAGATAGGCTTTTTTTTTGATAGATAAGTTAGTGTTTTATTTGTTTCCCTTTTTTTATTTTTTTATTTTAACATTTATCATTTTTTAAAGATTTATTTATTTATTTGTTTGTTTTGTTTTGTTTATTTGTTTATTTGTACAAGCACTGGGTACAGTCAGCAGCGCGGGAGGGTAAGAGAATTCACCAGAGCCAGAGCGGGGAGCAGAGCAGGCAGAAGGACTGAAGTACACTGCTGAGGGTGTTGTAGAGCAACCCCGATACAAAACGGGGTGCCTGACTGTGGGTCCTCACCCGCGCGCTTAAAAGGACTTATCAATGCTCTACTGCAGGCACACGTGAAAGGTTAATAAAAGGTTTATTTACAAGGGAAGGGGAAATGAGGAAATGTACAGCTCTGGGAGAAAAGTGGGAGACAAAGTTTTAAATGAGTCCTACCCAATCCGCCGATCAGGAATCCCAAAACGGCGCTCTCAGAGTTGGCCGCCAGCCAGGAGCAGTGAAGCCAGGAGGCGAGCAATCGCGAGCCAGAGAGAGAGCCCAAGGCCCACGTGTTTGGTTTTTATATCCAACCTGGCTGTCCAACTCCACCCTCAGGTCCCAGCCACCCTCCCCTTGGTGGTGATGGGATTTGTCTTTTCCAATGTCCTGATGGCTTTAGTCTGGAGTGGGGGTGGAGTCCACAAAGCCTGTATGAGATTATCTCAGGACATCCTAACTAGGGGAGTAGCCGGCGGCAGGAGAGGTCTGCGCGCCATGTGGGACCCTCCTCTGGTGGCCGGGGAGCAGCTGGGGATTGAACTGGCGCCGCAGAGGCTGCGGGCAGCTTCGCAACCCAGCGTTCAACTGCTGCGCCACTGGGGAGGCCCCATTATTTTTTAAATTTTAACAGGTACAAGATAGTTTTTATATTTCATTTCTGACTGATAATCTTCAGATAATTTCACCTTTTCACAATATTGCAGGATAATCAATCAGTAATGAAGTAGGGAAATTGAATTTTTAAAATTATTATTTTATCATTGGAAAAATCTATTAATAGCCCTGGAAAAAATATATACATTTAAATCAACAAGAGGACTGTATAATTTACTAGGACTAAAACTGAAGAAGAATCCTAATCGGGTCTGTAAACCTAAACAGTGATTATGGGAAAAGCAGAAGGTAAAAGGAGACTTTAAACACAAGGAATTCCAATATGCTAAATTCAGAATGCAGGAGATTTGACCTGAAAAGTTTCCCATTTTCTTTAACAAAACAAATGGAATAGGAGGTAGGGGGTAAGAGAGGGGAAAAAAGAGACCCTTATTGTCTAACAGACTTCAGAGTGATGGCAATCAAATGAAATGTGTGGACCTTGTTTGGATCTGATTTGAACAAACCATTAGCAAAACAGTTATCTTTGGGATAGAGAAATCTAAACAAAAACTAGGCAATAGGTAATAAAGAATTATTGTTACTTTAGGTATAATGATGGTATTATAGTTGAGAAATTCTGAAGTCTATATCACTTAAAAATAGGTACTGAAGGGCCTCCCCAGTGGCGCAGGGGTTGAGTGCTGGGTTGTGAAGCTGCCCGTAGCCTCTGCAGCGCCAGTTTGATCCCCGGCTGCTCCCTGGCCACTGGAGGAGGGTCCCACATGGCGTGCAGACCTCTCCTTCCGCCCACTGCTACCCTTAGCAGTGTACTTTGGTCCTTCTGCCTGCTCTGCTCTCTGCTCTGGTGAATTCTCTCACCCTCCCCCACTTCTGACTGTACCCAGTGCTTATATAAATAAATAAAAATTAAAAAAAAAAAAAACCCTGCTTTAAAAAAAAAATAGTATTTACAGGTAAAATAATATGGGTGAGATTTAGTTTAAAATACTCCAGTCATCTTTTCTCACAAAAAAAAAGTTTACAAGACAATATGTTGAGATAAGAATGACAGAATAATAGCTGTTAAAACTTGAAAATAGGTACAGAGATTCAGTATACTATTCTCTACTTTTGTGTATGTCTAACAATTTCCATTATAAATAGTTTAAGTTTTTTTAATTGAATAAAAAGAGTAAAAACAAAGGATTGCAAATTGTGTGTAATGTTTTTGCAGTTATATTAACTATTGCTTAAAACACTCGATGAAATTGGACAAATGTATTTGCAGTTATATTAACTATTGCTTAAAACACTCGAAGTATGGATATTTTCATGAATAACTACTTAAATATTTTAGTTACATTTTCATGATTACCTAATTAAATTAAGAGACATTTCCAAAATACCACACATCTCAAGATGCTGCCCAAATGGTATACAAATCCTGACAGACTCTTCCATCCCATGAAACCCAGAAAATACCAGCAAACACGCACCTAAATAATAAATGTTTGGCGCCACCCAGCCACCATAGGGTAACTCTTGCAAATGGTTTGAGGCTTCATGGTTTCCCCCTATGAAGATTGTGAGAACTGGGGCATTTTTCTCTCCAGAGTAATACCTAAAATATAAAAGTAATGTTGTCAATTGGGATAGGAGAAATTAGGTGTAGAGAAAAGTAACTAGGCGTGACGACACAATGAGGCACAGCAGAAAAGGAAACTGAGGTCCAAATGAAAAATCTAAGCTTCTGACATAAAGTTTAAAATGGCCTTTTAAATGAATTGACCAGTATCCACCCTAGCCCTTAAGAAGGAAGAGATGCCTCCTTGGATTTCAATCCAGTGTACGTTTACTGAGGTCAAGACTTTAACGAGTTCGCTTACTATAAACTCAGCTTCTAGAACAAGGACTACCACGTAGCAGGCGTCCAACAACAACCACCCAAAGAATCCAGGATCTTTAAGTGAACTAATCCCAGGGTCCTACTAAATATAAGTAGATTAACCTGTCAGTTTCTAAATCCAGGTTTTTCCCTCAGGCTACGACCCTTCCGAAACTTAAAAATGAATGGAAAGAAGAAAAATGACACTGACTAAGCGCGGGCTGCTGGAGACAGCGTGAACAAAGACAGGAACTGGGAGAGAATTCGGGGATTCGAACTCAGCACATGTCCTCTCCCCACAACTAACTAGTCACCGGTGGCACGGCACGGTCTGAGGCCCGGCCGCGCCCCTCACCTGTAGAAGGTCTGCATGTGGCGGTACTTGGGCGGCACAGCCATGCAGCGCAAGTCGGCCTCGTTGCGCACCGCCTGGAAGTCACCGCAGCACAGCAGAAGGTCTATCGGTCCCGGGCCGCGCCGCTCCGCCAGGGCCAGCGTCTCGTAGATCTTGTCGAGCTCGCCGTGGCAGCAGCCAGCCACGGCCACCCTCATCCCGCCGGCCCGGGGCAGCGAGCGCTGCCGCAAGCCACTGGACGGCAGTCGGCTCAGGGCGCAGAGACTGAGCGCTCAGCTCCCGCCAACATTACCAGAGCCGCGGCCTCCCCCGGACGGCTGCAGCGGAACTCACTTCCGGTTCTCAAATCTCGCGAGAAAGGGACTGGGCACGGCAAGCCTGACCTTAGGGTCCCGGGAGCTTCCAAATAAACTCCGGGACTTCTGTCTCTCCTGAGTCCAAGAAGTCTGACAGATGACAAAAATCGAAACTAGAGAAGTAGATAAGATCCCAGAAATAGGAGCTTAGTTGACAAAATTAAACCAAGTAAAACCAGTGAGCAGTCTAATTGCCCTAGGACAGACCTCTCATGGCAGAGATGATTGCCTGAATGTCAATTAGTTGAAAAGATTTTTCCCAGGTTTTAGCGTCAAAGAAAAGAATTTTTTTTTTTTTTTAATTTGCAAGACTCTCCTACTGAGTTTTAAAATAACCTATCCCTAGCCCCTGGAAAATTTCCGAAATTATCAGTGAAACTCTGAAGTGGGGCCTTGGACTCTTCGTTTTCCTTCCTAATAGTTGTTTGCCTAATGTTTATAAGCTGTTAACACTCACTAGACTGTTAGGGGGAGATGATGTCCTGAGTTAATCCCATACAGGCTTTGTGGACCCCACCCCCACTCCAGACCAAAGCCATCAAGACACTGGGAAAGACAAATCCCATCACCACCAAGGGAGGGTGGCTGGGACCTGAGGGTGGAGTTGGGTAGCCAGGTTGGATATAAAAACCAAACACGTGGGCCTTGGGCTCTCTCTGGCTCGATCACTCGCCTCCTGGCTTCACAGCTCCTGGCTGGCGGCCAACTCTGAGAGCGCCATTTTGGAATTCCTGATTGGGGGATCGGGTAGGACTCATTTAAAACTTTGTCTCCCACTTTTCTCCCAGAGCTGTACATTTCCCCATTTCCCCTTCCCTTGTGAGACAGGGCAAGCTAGGGTTATTAGGCAGTTTTAGGGATAGTGCAGGAGGGGACCTCTGAAAAATTTAGGGAGGCTTCAGAGATAAGGACAAGCAAGGGAAAGTAACCCATTCCATTAGGAAAAACAAACATGCCAGGACCAAGGACAACATTGTTAATGCTAGTCCTGGTTTCCTTCAGGTGGTAAAGGGAGGCGGAGATTGGAGAAATGGAGAGTGGTTTAATTTATGGTCACATTATAAGGGCAGCTGTTTAACTTCAATGCAGGGATGCCCATCCAGAAGACTGGGCCATAAATTTAAAGATGCAACAAATGGGGAAAGAGAAAGCTGTTAGATAAGGAATGTGAAGATCCCCACTCAGTAGCAAATTAAGTGAGACAGCCGAGAACTTGTTAGGGGGAAGTGATGTCCTGAGTTAATCCCATACAGGCTTTGTGGACTCCACCCCCACTCCAGACTAAAGCCATCAAGACTCTGGGAAAGACAAATCCCATCACCACCAAGGGAGGATGGCTGGGACCTGAGGGTGGAGTTGGGCAGCCAGGTTGGATATAAAAAAACCAAACACGTGGGCCTTGGGCTCTCTGGCTCGCGATCGCTCGCCTCCTGGCTTCACGGCTCCTGGCTGGCGGCCAGCTCTCAGAGCGCCATTTTGGGATTCCTAATCGGCGGATCGGGTAGGACTCATTTAAACCTTGTCTCCCACTTTTCTCCCAGAGCTGTACATTTCCTCATTTCCCCTTCCCTTGTAAATAAACCTTTTATTAACCTTTCACGTGTGCCTGCAGTAGAGCATTGATAAGTCCTTTTAAGCGCGCGGGTGAGGACCCACAGTCAGGCACCCCGTTTTGTATCAGGGTTGCTCTACAACAAACTGACCAATCACAAAGAGACTGGGGCAGCTTTAGAATAATGAGGGAAAAAAGGTATATATTCCCTAAGACACGACTCTACTTTGGCTTCCTTGCCCCTCCCAGGCCTGGTTCCCTGGCCTGGGAGTCCCACTTTATTTCTGCTCTTTTTCTCCTCAATAAACTTTTTAATCTTCTAAACAAACTGCCTCTTCTCGCTTGCTTGCCTGAGCGTCTGGGAAGTTCCTGCTGTGGCTTCGTGAGACACCAACCCGTGGGGGGTCTAGCAGCTGGGGCTCAGGGCTGCCCTGCAGCCTGGAATCCATTCCTGGCTGGGAGACTAGGCCTGACAATTCCGGTATAATTTGTAAATAAACCTTTTATTAACCTTTCACGTGTGCCTGCAGTAGAGCATTGGTAAGTCCTTTTAAGCACGTGGGTAAGGACTCACAGTCAGGCACCCCGTTTTGTATCGGGGTTGCTCTACAACAAGACCACAAGCTAAATAAGAACAGATGAATATCTTTTTTTTTTAAACATTTATTTCTTTATTTATACAGCACTGGGTACAGTCAGAAGCGCGGGAGGGTGAGAGAATTCACCAGAGCCAGAGAAGGGAGCAGAACAGGCAGAAGGACGGAAGTACACTGCTGAGGGGAGCAGCGGGTGGCAGGGGAGATCTGCATGCCATGTGGGACCCTCCTCCAGTGGTCAGAGAGCAACCAGGGATCCAACCGGCGCTGCAGAGGCTGCAGGCAGCTTCACAACCCAGCGCTCAACCGCTGCGCCACTGGGGAGGCCCAAAAACGATGAATATCTTTAAGTTCAGGAGGGAAAGAGTCAAATTGATAATTGCCGAATGATTGACCAAAACAGAAACGAGCAAATAACACACCTCTAGTAAATGTAATAAAGTTAATCTTATCAAGATATCAAAATAATAAGCCCACCTCTACTCATTTGGAAAAAAAAACAAACAACATTCTAAGAACAGACACCAATCAACTCAAATGATGCAGGACATGTAACTAGAGCGATGAAAATACAGAGACATTAGAAAAGTTGTAAAGCTATAAATCCACTGAAAGACATGGTGCCCAAAGTGATTTGTGGGTAATTTTTTTCAAATTCACTAAATGTGTGTGTGTGTGTGTGTGTGTGTGTGTGAATTTTCATGACATTTATATTTATCAGAATAACAGAAAAATAATATTTTCAATTTTTTAGCATTGCACTTTCCTTCCGTATTGGATTTTTGAAATCTACAAGAACAACACATACTTTCTACAACATTGTTAAATTTAACTTTTTCCACCTTATTTTCAATACGCATGAATTGGGGTTTTTTGGGGGATTGTTTTTCCTCCATGTAAAATATTTTAATTAAAATATAATTAGGAGTAAGATGAACAAATAAAAGTTTGCTGATTTTTTACATACATAATCCACCATATAGCCACCATCCATATCAAGATATAAAATATTTTCAGCATTCAGGAAAACTGTCATATTGTTAGGGAGAAATGATGTACTGAGCTAATCCCATACAGGCTTTGTGGACTCCACCCCCACTCCAGACCAAAGCCATCAGGACACTGGGAAAGACAAATCCCATCACCACCAAAGGGAGGGTGGCTGGGACCTGAGGATGGAGTTAAGCAGCCAGGTTGGGTATAAAAACCAACACGTGGGCCTTGGGCGGGCTCGCTTTCGCTCGCCTCCTGGCTACACAGCTCCTGGCTGGCGGCCAGCTCTCAGAGCGCCATTTTGGGATTCCTGATGGGTGGATCGGGTAGGACTCATTTAAAACTTTGTCTCCCACTTTTCTCCCTGAGCTGTACATCTCCTCATTTCCCCTTCCCTTGTAAATAAACCTTTTATTAACCTTTCGCATGTGCCTGCAGTAGAGCATTGATAAGTCCTTTTAAGGGCGCGGGTGAGGACCCACAGTCAGGCACCCCGTTTTGTATTGGGGTTGCTCTACAACAATATCTTGGTCAAGTCTCTTGCCCCCCCCCCACACACATAAAGTACTATCTGACCTGTCAGAAATAAGTCAGCCTTACTTATTTTTAAGCATCATATAAATGTCAATATGTATTGTGTACTCTTTTGTGTCTGGCTTATTGTTTGTGAAATTCATCTATTAAAAGATAATCTATGACTTAAAATTTTTTAAAGTTTATTTGAGGAAAAAGTCAAGTCAGGCAGCATCCAATCTAGCAGATAGAAAGGAACTCTAAGGAGCTACACAAAATGAAAGATATTTTATGACCAAAGGAAGCAGGAACAAGGACATAACACCAGGCCAAAAAAAAAAAAAAAAAAAGAAAGAAAGAAAGATTGGTGATTTAGAAGTTAGTTTCTTTTAGGGAATGGCAAAAAGATGACCAAACTAGTGTTAACCTGGCAATTTTTAATTGGTTTAAATTCCATCTCTAGGACTATCAACACTGCAAGTAAGTCTCAGTTTGGTTTCATGGGGCTTAGAAATTAAGTCCCCATTTGGGACCTGTTATCTTGTTTTTTAATACATCCATGAATCTATTCTATAGAAATATATAGCCATAGTATGTTGTTTCTTATTGCTATGTGGTATTCCATGTATTTTGCTCTTGAAGGACATTTGGATTTGTTTCTAATGAATAAAGTAGGCATGTATCAGTACAATCTTGTAAAATCTTTTGGTGAACATAGCACTCATTTTCTTTGGATATTGCCTTAGGAGTGGAATCTCTTGAAAATAGAGAGGATACATGTTTAACTGCAATAGCATCAATTTCCACAGTAACTACTAATTCAGTTTTCTAATTAATATAGTAGCACTCCAATTACTTTCCTGTGTTCAACAGCACTTGGCATTATCTGTCTGTTAAATTTTACTTATTTTGTTAGGTACACCATGATATCTCCCTGTGATCCATGTAGATTTTAGAGCAAAAATGTAATACATCTGTCAACTTGAATTTTTTAACTTTGTGACCAACAAGAAGCAATAATTTAATGTCATAACATTCAAAAGCTATTAGTCAAGAAAATAAATAGAAGATTTTGAAGAACATTAAAGTTCAGTATGTTTCAGGTCCTAACTCTATTCCCAACCCACAGTCCATTTCCAAGGGCCATCTTGGTAAATCAACAAATTTGAGAATTCTCATTGACTTTTCTCAAATGCAAAGGCAATCAACCATACAGAAAACCTTACCCCTTTCCCATTATGAATGAAAAGAAAAGGAAAGGTTGATGAGAGGAAATGGATTGAATGAATAATGATACTCTCTGAGA